AAGCTGTGACTGAGATTAAGAAGTCTTAAGAATAAGATTTAAGATTTGTATTACTATTGTTGTTGTTGGTGCTGTTGGTTATGGTAGTAGGTTTTGTTGTTATTATTCAGGTCTGCTTCTGTTTAATTGGGAACTTTAAAGTCAAAATCATCATATTTCCAGGACTTCCAGGGTTTTCCCCCTCATCAAAATTTTGCGTCTTGCTTCCTCTCTACCAGTGTAGTTGTGGGCTGACTGTTCTCGCTGCATGGACCCGCCTTGAGCTTCAGTTTTCTCCAGACTTCAGCTGTCACACCCGTCTCTTGAGCCACAAAAAACTTTCCTGTCCCAAGGTTGAAGCTTCAATCAGTTTTCCCCAGCACCACATCAAAGAAAGGTAAGCCAACACTTCTGTCTCCTATTCTATTGCTCTACATATTCGTGCCACCTCGTGTATTTAATGTTATTTTTGATTTGTGTGTGTGTGTGTGTGTGTGTGTGTGTGTGTGTGTGTGTGTGTGTGTGTGAAATTAAATCCAGGTTCTACTCCTTTTTAAAATTTTGTAAATGTGCCTCTTCATTAGGAACAATGTAAAGTGCTGTTCTACTTTACAGGAAGAATAAAGCGAAGATGTAAGAGGAAAAATTATTCAGTTATTACAAAAACGTTCAGTTTTCATCAGCACCCTTGCTTGTCTCACTATACAAATTATACTAATAATATCAGATGTCTATGGTAAAAGAATAACACAGACTGGTAGTGCTACTGTTCATCATCCCAGCTGCATTGATTTTAAACACATTACTCAGTCAATGTTGTTTTCTTTCTTTCACTGTAGACAAAATGAGTGTTGCTGTCTTGACTGCCATAATGGTCACTGTAGCCATGACTGCGAACTCTTTACCTTGTGAAGACACAAGCCCCCCAAGTCAATATAAAGAATTTATCAAAAGACACATCCTTCAAGATATATTTGACCGAAGTCTTCCAATTGAGTGGGAGAGGTGAGTTAAAAAATGAATAGTTCCCTCCTTGATATTATATGATTATGTGAATATAATATACAGACAACAACAAAATAATAATATTATTATCATTATTATTAGATTTTTGAAAAGGAAAGGCCTCTGGTGCAGAACTTCATTGCAGTCCTTCATTGAGAGCAGTGATCAGATGAATATCGAAGGGATTTGCAGCCAAAATGGTCGACGCCTAATCAATACACAAGATAACTTGTGTATCAGCAGTTCAGTCATACTGGTATATGACATCCAGTTTCTATATGGTTGTAATCTTAATGTGATACAAAAGCATAAGCCTGTGATTGTGGCATGTAATAATGTTAAAAATCGATGCCGTCCTGTGCATTTTGAGAAATACATAAAGCAAACACCAAGCACTACGCCCTGCAGTAACTAAATTTTTAAATAGTTAATGTGCTAATTAGTGACTCAGGCTTTCAAATAAAATGTCAAGCTCAAAAGTCAAATAAATAAGTGAATAAATCTATCCTACAGAGCTTGCTGAATGGTGCAACTCTGTCTTCCTGTTTATTAAAGTTAACAGGGAACCGTCTAGTTACTGTTCAGTTAATCAGAGTAAATGTTCAAAGTCATCCAATTTGCTTTCATTTTACAATGCTGGCTTTAGCAATTTGATTAAATATGTCAACACAATGAACATAAAGAGGTAATGGTATGCATGTTTTACTGTAACTGAGAAGTCTTCATTACTGTTCAGTTTTGTTCTCTGAGTGTTGTGCTAAAGCTAGTCTGGCCTTTATCTGAAATAATTCTTTTAAGCACATGTAAAACAATAATAAAACATTCGTCAGCTTCTCTGGCCTTTCAGCTTTTGATGCCATTAAATATAAAACTATCAGCTGACTGAAGGTGTAATGAACGTCCATACTTATCTGTAATTGCATTATTTGGTGGTTATGTCATTTTCTTGTTCTTCTGTTAGTATGTGATTGTACAGGGTGTTTACATATCCTGAAATAAATATGTGACAAAATTATATTTACATTTGTTCTAGTGCAATACTGTGTTAATGTCAGCTCTGTTTGTGCCATTACTACACTTATCTTCCAATGTAAGAAGAAAAATTTAAACAAAAATCTTATAGCATTTTCTGAATGAGGCATAAACTCAGCAAACAGTTGTGAGTATTTGAAGAAAATCAACAATATATTTATCATAGAGGTGATTAGTTGTGCAAATCAACATCAAAATACAACTATTTAATCTATCTATCTGTCTCTCTGAGTGAATGGCAGAGTGAATCAAGCTGCGGATGGGAGTGTCGGAGTGAGTGGTTTGCTTTGAGTGATTTTTCTCTCTTTGCTATCTAGCATAGTTTTTTTCAACAAACGAATATTGTTTTGTTTGTTTGCTACCGGCTTGATTTGGCACTATGCCCGCTGTTGATGGTGACGCAGAGTTTGAGAAGCTGACACGCCGTCATGCTGTCAAACTCACACCAACTGTGAACTGTTCAGTGGAGGAGGCTGGTAGGAGATGTGGTGGGTTATGACAGCATTAAAATCTGCATCCCATATGAATGGTGTGATCGTTATCTTTCTTGTTAACATATCCAAAGTTAATGACTTGGTGGAAAGAGTTGTCATTATTCATGACACTTTCACGCCTGTTCTCTCCTTGGTTAGCCCTGCTAAAAAGGCCATCTATAATCCAGTTTTGAGATCCCTTCCCAGACGCCTTAACGCCCACTCACATCCTGGGCCATCTGATCTCAGGAATTCGCATGATAAGGTGGGGCCAGGTTTCACAATGAACTCACCCAAAACTCTGGCTGATTGGGACCCACACCCAGTTTCACACCTTGGCTCAGGCGATTAGAGGATCATCAGGGGGTCCTTTTGTCCCTCTGTGGGGGGTTACTCCCACTAGGTTTATATCTGGGACTCTCCACCATTTGACCTTAGAACTGAAGAAGCTTCTGGGATGAGAGGTGAAACGTCTTCAAGCAACTTAAAGAAGTCCAGACGCTTTTCTTTGCAAGCTCCTTTGACTACGATGACCTGGATGACTGAGAACCTTCACAGACACCCTGCTAAAAAGATTACCATCTCAAATGCACCTCCATTTATAAAAAAAATGAAACTTCAGCCAACAAGATGTCACAGTATGGCCAAGTAGTTTCACCCATAAAGATGGTTTCTTTGTTGTGCCAATCTGTGCTCCTTAAACATGTTGTGTGTCACAGAAGGCAGTCAGTGAGCTAAACCTGTCTTTCAGTTTCAAAAAAGATGGTTTCAATGACATGGTTTTGCTTTGTCAGAGAACGTGAAATGTTTTGGTTGGCTGTAGCTCAGGTGGTAGAGCAGGTCATCTACTGATCGGAAGGTTGGTGGTTTGATTCCTGGCTTCCCCTAGTCTGCATGCCAAATATCCTTGGGCAAGATACTAACCCCAAATTGCTCTCCGATGCATCCATCGGAGTATGAATGTGTGTGAATGTTAGCTATAAAGCACTTGTGCTATAGCTATAAAGCACAAATGTGCTTGTGCGAATGGGTGTGAATGGGTGAATGCACAAGTTGTGTAAAGCGCTTTGAGTGCTCAGATGAGTAGAAAAGCGCTATATAACAACCAGTCCATTTACCATTTTGGTTGTGGTGGAGAAGAGCATTTAATTCGATCCTGTCCAGAAAGGCTAAGAAACACACAGCCAGTGGATGATGCAGTTGGAGAGCAGGTGCTGGCCAGGGCTCCTGGTGGGGAAACGTCAATTGCCCCCTGCTGAGACCGCGGGCAGATCCACTGTTGCTAGGGTGGACGTCGCTGCTAAGGCTCTAGTAGAAAAACATTCCTTTACGAACAGTGATAGTTCTAGGGAAAATTACAATGTGAGGAGCACTGACAGTTAGGCACGACGACCAAAGGGGCTTTGGTCAGGCCACGTTTCCTCAGTGTCACAGAGATGGATGCCCCATCTCACTTCTTCTTGGGACTGTAAAAGAAGATTGAGCAAAGAAATATTGTTCACTCTCTAATGTCTGATAATGGCTCCACAATCTCAGAACCCCCTGAGATCAGGAAGTTTGCTGTCAGCTATTATAACAACCTTTTTAGGAGTGATCTTTCAGAAAATCCCAGTTTGTGCCACGGTTTCTTCAAGAGACTCACTCATGTGGTGGCTGAAGCCAATCGAAAACTGTCTCTGCTCTGATCAGTTTTCAGAGTGGTAGAACTCCTGGCATAGATGGTCTTTCTGTTGAATTTTATAAATCCTTTTGGTCTGTGATGGGTGAGGATTTTCTAGAGACTGCCATGGATAGTTTGGAAGAGAGCAGGAATGATCATCACATTGAATCAGAATACAAGCTGTTGGAGAGCCATAACTACAACACTGTCTTATTGCCTTAGACTTTAAATTCCAAAAGACTATGCTCAGCGTCTATGGCAGCGGTCAGCAACCTTTAACACCATTTGGACCCACTTTCCATGGAAAAGAAAACATTGGGAGCCGCAAATACTTTTTGACATCTAAAATAAAGACAACACTATTATTGTTTTTTACCTTGATGCTTTGTATAAACAACTAAAGTGTGTTGTTTATGAAATCCATGAAGTGCTACAGAGAAATTAAATTAAATTTATGTATTGAACACATTTTGAACTCTTAAAAAATATTTTAAAAAAAAGAAAGACATCCAGTTGAAGGTCTCTTTTAACTGAACTTAAATTATTCATATAGCAAACAAAAACTGTAGTGAACCGTCATCCTTATATCACCGTTGGGATTTCGCAGCCTGTAGTGGAGTCTTGACCTAAATTTTAAAAATAATTTGAAAAAGGGACTATGCTGCTAAAAAATGAAAAGTAATATTTTGTAAAATATATGCATAAATATGTATTTTACCTGGTTAATGTGTGTGGCAAGGCATGGTCCGCAGTACTGCTGCAGGGAGGTGGACGCACCTGAGTGGCATCCGCAATCAAGCCTTGCCGGCTTAAAGTCTGTGCTCTCTCTGCTGTTGTGTTGGTGTGTTTTGGGCTGTGAGCTGGAAAGCTACAGCTGGCTGTGTGGCTACAGCAACCATGTGTGAAAAGTGGTCAATAAAGAAAAAAGCATGTTTATGCAAACATTGTCGGGTCTGCCGTGGTATGTTTACATTGGGACATCTGCTCCTGAACCTCAGCTCACAGCGTCTGCAAATCGGGGCTGTACGAAGTCACTTCATCTTTACGCAGGACTGTAGCTGTCATCTGTGAGGCATGAGCGGTGTTTGTTGTTACTATAGTTCATGGTGGAGAATAGCTGCTCAAATACGTATGTGGATCCGAAGATCCATACTTGGCCTGCCTGGGGTTGAAAGTCTCGATAAATACATGGCATTTTGGCGGGTATGGTTTATGCAAGTGTGATGCTTATTTTGAGCGATTAAAAATATTAACATAATTTTATTTTTACCTTTCAAGATCACAATAATCTTCCAATTTAGAACTACAAGTTAAAAAGAACTAACACAAATAAAATACACTTCAGTTAAATACTAATTTTTTTCTAAACCACGTAGAGCCGCAATATAAAGACTAAAGAGCCGCATGCAGCTCCGGAGCCGCAGGTTGCCGACCCCTGGTCTATGGTTACATGTTTTACTCTAACCAACTTTCATCAGTGCCTTAGACACTTTCTGTAGTTGATGAGAGATAAATAAGAAAAAATAGGACCAAGAAAACCAGAAGAACCAGACTTCATACTTGGGCTGAATGCAGTGAAGGAATGTATTTACTTGTGTAAGCAGTTGGATCACAGTTGGAAAGTTATCTGAAAGCTGTGACTGAGATTAAGAAGTCTTAAGAATAAGATTTAAGATTTGTATTACTATTGTTGTTGTTGGTGCTGTTGGTTATGGTAGTAGGTTTTGTTGTTACTATTATTCAGGTCTGCTTCTGTTTAATTGGGAACTTTAAAGTCAATGAGTAGTCATATTTCCAGGACTTCCGGGGTTTTCCCCCACATCTAAATTTTGCGTCTTGCTTCCTCTCTACCGGTGTAGTTGTGGGCTGACTGTTCTCGCCGCTCGTGGCAGAGCTTCCGTTTTCTCCAGGTTTGAGCTGTCACACCCATTTCCTGAGCCACAAACAACATTCCTGTCCCAAGGTTGAAGCTTCAATTAGTTTTTTGGCAAAGATTAGTTATAGATCATTTATTTATCTATTTAAAAAGTCTTGTTGACATTAAAAGGTTTTTTTTAAGAGGGGAGCAGAAATCGCAACAAATGTTACAATTTAAAAAAGATATTTTAAGTGGCCAAAAAATTATAACAAACTGAGTCATAAAGATACTTGAAAAACACGTCATTTCTGTATTTTATATTCTACAGCCGCAACTGTGATGTTAACTCTTTGAAAAGTATAAAATTAAAAATACACCAGAAAATAAGTGAGGGACGCAGGGACACTGTAAACAAGAATTCCGCCACGGGTCCGGTGGCGGCGGCGTCGCAGCTCCGGCGGG